CGTTGCGCGTATTAGGCGTGTTCACTCGCTTAGCTAGTGAAATAAGATCCAACTGCGCAGTTCTCCAGCAAATCTAGTATTCCGATGTTTGGCGCCGGAGCCTGCGCCATGCTAGGCAGTCCTGAGCCAAGCCGACGTGATATTGTGTTCAGAAGGTCGGGACAAGTTTTTAGCCAGTTCTACCCATAGAGAAAGATTCGTTTAAAATTTGTCCGGCATTTTGAAAGTGGGGTAGTCAAGGGTGGACAGTGCTAAATTTCCATATCCTAGAGCTCGGCCCCTGTCCACTCCCTGAAACTGGTAATTTCAAGATGTTTTATGACTATCGTGACGCAATAGCCATAATTTTTTGAAATCTAATTATAATTACTGGAATTACCAATTTTGACCTGCTTTCTTTACGGCCGGAAAATGCTGGTTCAAGTATTTCTAGACGACCTAGTATGGAATTCGAGTACAATTTATATATTCAGGTCTGTAGTGGATTCCTGGATAAGCATTATCCGGCACTTGTTACGAGCAATGCATTTCTAACGGATTTAAAAAAAACGAAAGTATCAATACTGCAATCTATCGGCATGAAATACAGCCGCATCGCTGAGTAACTGAGGATGGTTTGCTCTATGAATGAATTGATACTGCTTATAAGTACTGGATAAGATTACTGAATACTGTAGTCACAGGGATACCGTATCCCCGTTATCTTTCGGTGATTTTGTTATCACATGCTCAGTGGAATCAGGTGAAACTCCATAGCTGATCGTGCAAATCCAACTGGACTCCACCTAGTTCAACGTGGGAGGGAATTGAGAACCGGGAAGAATAAATTTTGGGGAGAAAGTTTTTATCCCAATTCAGCGCGCTAGTCATTATCACCGGTAGACCCCTGTTACGTTGTTGAATTATAAACCACTGTTGAAATATTTCTTGGGCTGATTTTTTTTTCACGAGGCAATTGTTCTCCCGTCGGTTATCAAACTCCAGATGCGGGGAGTTTTTATCGGAGTAGGAGAGTCCGTTGGATTACTCTTGCCCGTAACAATGACGTACGAAGGTGTTCTGGCGCCTTTCATTCCCTTTCGTGCAAAGCTTTTTTGTTGGGAATTCTCTTGGAGCAGTCGATCGTCTTTGTGTTCGTATAACCATTCCACAGGCAGGGCACAGCATCGTTGTGTGAAACACAAGGGGGGGGTCGTACTTTTGCTTGGGGGGGGGGGTCGTACTTTTGCTTGGGGGAGGGGGGTCGTATTTGTTGGAGACAAATTTATTTTGATAGTTGATTTTATCTTGTGGAAAAGTGGGGGGTCGTATTAATTTTTGTTTTATATGCATTATATGCACCCTGATATACGTTGCATAATTATTGTATACCCCCCCCCCCCGCTCGACAACTTTTTCGCCGACTATATACTCATGGCTCGGCGACTGGCGAAGAAGGTGTCGAAGGGTGGGGGGGGGTCGTGGCCTGTACCCCATCAGGAGGGGGGGTCGTACTCTCACCGACATTTCGCCTATCCCCATGCTGTACCCTGTACACAGAATGTACTCGGTAACCCGAACGCCAGGGCAACATCATTGGGGTGGGTTTTTGGTCGACCCGACCCTCCTTTTTTTCGAGGTTGTACGACCCCCCCCCTCCGGCCTCTCTGTCCTCTTGTCGAAGAGGGGGAAGGGTAAATAGCACATGTGAAACGTGAAAAGCCGCGAGAAAAAAAATTACGACCCCCTCTTCACCGATTCTCAGATTTTCCCCAACTTCAAGCCACTTCTTCAAAATTTCCCGAAAATTTTCCCTACTTTCCCAAAAATTTTGCTGTCGAGCAGGGGGGGGAGAGGGGAGGTATATAGTACACATGAAACAGGAAAATCACGAAAAGTCAACCACCTCTCCCAGAAGGCCAGAAAGTAAGCAGAAAGTGAATACGACCTTCCCCCCCTCCCATCAACGAAGCTAGTACGGCCCCTCCCCTATACGTCCATAAAGCGAGAAAAATCAACTATTAAAATAATTTTTCTCAACCCAGATACGATCTCCATCCCCTCTCTCTGGCGACCAAATACGACCCCCCCCCCTGTTCGGGATTCTCCAGCAACAGATTTGTCCTGGCGGGCGCCCGCAATGCATGACGTGCTCGGCTTACGTGATCTTCAAATTCTTGGCAAATAATGTGGTTCTGCTCGTTGCAGACACTGAGGCGTATCACAGTGGGAAACTGGGTTTCGCGCCTTCGTCATCTCGTTCTGCACAATTCATGGACGTCCGGTTATTCTCCTGATTATTGTGAGGCTAACCAGGAAAGGTCAACAGGTCAGCCTGGCCATTTGCAATGAGATGCACATCGTTGTACCCGTCTTGAGACGGTGAACTCAAAACTATCTTCAAAATTTGCGGAACGATTCTCTGAGCGGAGTTAGAGAGGTTTTTCTTTACTGTTTTTCTTCTTACGGGCGCGCTGGCGCCGAAGCGTTGGCACATGTAGCGCGACTCACAGCGCTCTTCGCGCAAAACAGGTATCATATTCGTGTTCAGGGGTCAAATAACCCCTACGTCACCTTAGCAAAATCTGAGCTTCTGACTCAACTTGGGGTATGGATAGTCATGGCTGACTGATAGCTAACAGCGATACTATGACTAGCATACTGGTGATGACTGGTCTTCGAACTGAAATCTTCAGTCATGTCTTTTTGCAAACAACAGTACCTGGCTTACTTATTTGTGCCGTCTGCATCATTTTCTTGACTATCGGGAGGAAATCCCATTCCAAGACCAGTCATCGATGGTAGGTGAGCTCCAATCTGCTGCTAATTACCCATGGAATAGCCCACATTTTCCAAGTGAGGTCGAAAAATCAGATTCGGCTAGAAACTTGTCCCAGGGGTAATTTAACCCGCTGAACATGAATATGATGGTATTTCATTGCAAAAACCCTTGTGACACGTGTTACGAGGGGTACAAGCAGAAGCACTCTTTCAGGCCACAATGGGTCTACACTTTCGAAAAAAACTGATGCAGGTTCCCTTATAGGGTAGTGCAGGCGAGCAGAGATGTTAGAAGCTTTGTCGGCTATGTTCTTGGACAAATGCAAAAAGGACCTGCCCCGGAACCGATCCTACGACGTCTCGCCTAAGAAACCCGCTCCCTACCCGTTGCGCTCTACTACCACGTTTCAGCATGACTCCATACATAAATGTAAAGACGCTTCCACGTTTCCTCGCGATAGCATGTGAAACGACCACGCGGGGATAAGACCCTCCATAACTCCGTTCAGAGAATCGTTCCGCAAATTCTGAAGGTAGATTTGAGTTCACTGTCCCAAGACGCGTACAACGGTGTGCAGCTCATTGGAAATGGCCAGGCTGACCTGTTGACCTTTCCTGGTAGTGTACTTACCCCAGCCACTCCTGACGTCCTCTTTTGCATGTTCTCTTCACTGGCACGCCCCTCCCATTAGCAGGATGGTTTTCATATTTTCAACGCTCCTACTACGCTCCAGCGGAGGAGGTGTAAGTGGCAAGCGGCTCCCTTAACGCGCACGCGGTCCGGGAATCAAAATCCTAGATCGACCCCAGGCCAATCAAGCATTTCTCCTTCTGGGCACGATAAATTGGTACTAGGTTCATCTACTAGGATAAAAACACTACTGTTTACCACACACAGAACCACTTCCTCAAGCCATTGGGAGACCACACTGCATTCAATCAAGCCAGCCACTGCAATTTTGAATGGAAGTAGAATGGTGCCGCATCCTAGAAAGGGATTGATCGACGGCGAAGACTTAATCCTTTATCCCTTGACTACTCTTCTAAACGTGGACCGTGTTTTCAAGGTGTGAAGGACAGCCCGTTGCGATGCTGTTCGGCTTGGGGAGGAATGGAGGGGTAAGGGGGAAAGCTCAGTTTGCACTTTCTCTAGTTTGTTCTGCTAGCTCAAATTAACTAATAGGCTTCACTGATGAGACCTACACTCTTGTGAAGCTGGGGAAATAGTACAAGTGTCATTGATTATAGAAATTCTTAGGTCTTCACATGCTTGCCCGTAGTGGAGCTGTTCCACTTGGTGCCCCCACTAAACCGAACTCCGCCATACTCATTTTTCAATAGTATCTCTGCAAAAACTCATCTCGATATAGTTTAAGGCTTTATCACGGTATAGCTAAAGCATATAGCACGGGTGGGTCTGAAGGACATGACGTTTGGACTGACATGAGGTATTTTTTCTAGCCATCATTTTTTCCGCAATATATTACACTTTTTTCGCAATTTTCGTCGGGGGGGGGGTCAGATTAAGTCACGGTTCTTTTTCACTGAGGTAAAAGTCTGGGAAGATTCCCAAAGTTGACCGTAGTTATATAACAGTGCAGGAGTAGCCTTGCAACTGAAGTTCCATTTCAAGAGACTCCACCGCTACTTTTTCCTCGCTTTCTACCGTTCTCAAATGTGGAACCACCTTCAGAAGAATGGTAATTGACATGTGTGGACCACCTTCAGAAGAATGGTATTGACTGTTGGGCCTGATGAGGAAGCCAAGAGTTTTCCGCTGAAGTAAAAAAAACCTAGGTTCAATTCTTCAAGCATCACACTACTCGACTCCCTCGAATTGTCCTTGCGTGTGTTACAGATTGTTTCGTTAGGCTTTTTGACTCAAAAACCAGCCTTTAATCGGAAATTATTCGACGAACGAATCGATTATACGACAAATTGTTACTACTAATGTAACAATTTGTTCACGGCAAATGAAGCGTGCAAAACCGCGGCGACAGTGAAACCAGCAAGGTGAGCGTAAAATCGAAATCATTATCGATAATATTAGTTGCAAGTGAGTTCTACTAAGGACAGACCGAATGGCATTGGAAGCACTGGGGTGTAAATAGCGCACGATTTAGAGAGCGTCATGCGCGTAAAACTGAAATTACGAACTGATGTGGATGGCAAGGTTAACGGGGCACCTCGATAGGGTATATAAGCTTCTAGGGTAGCAAGAATGTCACCAGCGTTTCACGATGGACTCAGATCATCGTTTGAAGGCCTACCGTTTTGTAGCCTACTCGGCTGTCACCTTTTCGGTGGTTGCCGTTCTCTCCGTATGCATTACCCTTCCGATGGTCTACAGCTATGTGAGCCAGGTGAAACGTTCGATGTATGACGAGATCCGTCACTGCAAGGTGAGCTCCATTTACCTTTTTGCTTTTTACTCCCCGTGACATTATTATTTGATTTTAGAGCTCCGCAAGCGACATCTGGGGCGAAGTCACCCACATTAAGAATCTTCCCGCCGGAAACAGAACCGCCCGTCATGCAGGATACAATGAAGGTGGAAACGGCGGCGGCGGTGGTGGTGGAGGTGGCGGCGGTGGTGGTGGTGGAGGCGGCGGCGGCGGCGGAGGCGGCGGATGCAGCGGATGCTGTTTACCTGGCCCACCAGGAGCAGGAGGAACTCCAGGACGACCTGGAAGACCTGGAAAGCCTGGAGCAAATGGTATGCCAGGAAACCCAGGTAGAGGCGGCGGCGGATGTGGACCCGAAACCCCACCCCCATGCCAGCCTTGCCCAGCTGGACCACCTGGACCTCCTGGACCACCAGGACCCGCTGGAGGCCCCGGAACCGACGGATATCCAGGAAATTCCGGATCCGGTAGCAACCCTGGACCACCTGGACCTAAGGGACCACCTGGACCCAACGGAAACCCTGGTCAACCTGGAGCACCTGGACAACCTGGTCAACCCGCTATCTCTACACCTCCTTCCCCTGGACCACCCGGACCACCTGGACCACCTGGAGCACCAGGAACACCAGGATCCAATGGACAACCCGGATATGGTGGTGGAGCAGGTAAGCGTTTTACATTTACTGTACTAGAATAGGAAAGTGAATTTTTAAAAAAGATTGTTATCTCGTGTTTTAGGCACACCCGGACCCAAAGGACCTCCTGGAGCACCTGGACAACCTGGTGCTGACGGAAATCCAGGACCTCCAGGACCACCTGGAAATGGTGGCTCACAGGGAGAGCCAGGTATCTGCCCCAAATACTGTGCCATCGATGGAGGAATCTTCTTCGAGGATGGAACTCGTCGTCGTTGAGCTCGTCTTCAGCAGGGTCATACTACTTAGGTCAAATAAAGCTAGTTCTATACATGTTTGCTCTGTTAAAAAATGACGCTGGTCAGAGTGAAAGAAGTTTTCCACACAATTTTTAAGCATATTCGAAGCCAAATGTGGCCTGTCCTCTTGGAGGGCTTCAAATCGTATGAAGGTGACCGAAGGCGGCGCTGGAAGGTATAAGGCAGAGTAACTCGGTGCAGGGTGCTATATAATGGGAAAATGGCGAAAAAGCGAAGTGAAATGGTCAAAAACCTGCGAAGAAAAGCCTTCGTTCTCAGTGACTCGAAAAGCAATATCGGACGAGTTTCCTTGTTGGCATCGTGCCATAACTGCTACGGTAGGTATGGCTACATTCCATGACTATATATCTGTGCAGCACCTCAGACGCTTCCTATCAAACCTTTGCTTCGTACTGTACTGCGCAAATGAAGCAATACGAGCACCATCATTGGTCGGACTTTTGTGGACGTGAGGGTCGGTATGTTGCTGCTTGATAGGGCGCTATAAGGGTAAAAGGGGTTTCTTGGAAAAGGCGCCACGCAGCGCCTACTCAGGTGCGCTGATTTCTGTCTTGCTAGGCGTATTAGTCGTACACTTCTTGAGGATTTATCGTGCCACTTGCCCTTAATACAGTGACAAGCCACTGGTAATTGACCCAACTGCTCGGTGCTGAGAAGGTATAGTTTTCCTTTGGTGGCAAGTTCAAGGTGATCTGATTTCTTTTAGCGCAGTGGGCATACTGTAGATGATTTGATCAGACCCTGTCCATGCCATGAGGTTTTCTTCCGCTTGCATGGCCTTTGACAGCTTTTGCAACTGGGAGTCGTTATGAGTCACACAGGGGGCCAAGTGTAGGTTCGAGAACCTCCACGATCCCGAAGAAATATGATACATATTACAATCCAGAAAGTAATCAGCTGATCGTCTACTTCTTATTCAGTCATGCCATGTGCTATTGCGTGCAGTGAAGTAACTGTGTAATGTCAAGTGATGGTGTTAATTAGCGCAGGGTCATAGAATACAAAACCGGTTCTGTTTGTTTGGCGACATGTTCCAGTTCTCTGCAAGGCCAGTGCTTATGCCGTCGCTACATTAAGTTTTTCGAAGGGTTACAGTACAGCGTGAAAACGTAGAAAAGGTGTTGGGTATATCCGAGGCAAAATTACTAGGCAGGTAATACTGGACTTAGAATCCAAATATTCTGTCTGCAGTTGCACCAGTCGCTACATTAGATAGGGGTATGGTCATATTGTGATAGATTGGCGAGAAAGTTCTGTCATACTTTTTTGAAGTTCAAAATACTTTGCCCATTACTCGAAGAGGGGTAACAATGTGAGCACTTATACATCAAGGAATGGTCTTTCTATTAGTACCACTCGCTTGACTCTGCTTCTCCTTATTCTGCAATATGGACAAGAATGTTATCCGCTACCATCGGCACGACCCCTTCAAGCGCTTCCTTCAAACCTTTCTTCTACCACCCTGCCGCCAGCATGACATCTGTCGATGCCGAAATAATGGAGCTGCATAAGGACGATGTCTACAATCATCAGACAATCTCCCACGTCGCTAATGCTTCAGAGCGGGAGCCTACATACAGTTGAACGACAAGGTGAAGTTTGAATGCACTTGTGAACGCTTGTGGGAGCTGTATGCAGGGAAACTGCTGGAAGAAGTTGCTCCCTCGGTCAATCCGTAGCAAAGCAGCTACGAGATCTGAAGCGAATCGTCGATCAGAGGGAAAAATTTGTCCGCACAGTCCGCCTTCAACATGATAGTGCAGCCCACTCCGTCCAAAAAAGTTCGAGCCGAAGCCATGCTATAGAGCTGGACGGCTCTACCCTTGCAGGTGTAGTCCAGACATTGCTCTTTCTGACTGCTAGTCGCCTCCCGTATTCAACCGTTATACAGCCGAGAAAACCTCCACGACTTGAGCCCAAGTCAAAGTTGAGATGATGTCCAACTTTGCGTCGCGCCGGCGTGCATTGTGAAGCGATGGCATCCACGAAGTGCCCAAAAACTGGCAAGGATCTCGCAATAACATTGCTGTATAATTTTGATCTTGTACGCCTCTCTGTAAAAAGAAAGCCTAGTTTGAAAAAATGTGACAGAACTTTCCCGCCAACCTAATAGCACGACAGTTTGGTATCTCCTCGAGAGCAATAGCAGGGATGCAACATAGTGGGGGAAAAAAGCGAACTTAACCGGCCAGAAACCAGCTGAAGAGCCATTGTATTCACGGCGTTGCTCGGGCATTTTTGGACGAGCTACCCATTGACATCGTGACAACAACCGCTCCGACAGATACGGCTGCACGTATAGTGTAGTTCGCTGCGGACGGTTGGGCGTGTCAGGCGGGATGAGTTTGGCGCGGTGCCAAACCCGTTCTCCACCAGTTGTTAAAGCGAGCAAGTGATATGACTGTATCATATCGTATATCGTTCGTATTACTCGTTTTCTACCACTTTTTGTCGCATGCGCGCTTCAACAAGAAGGCAGAGAACGGCTCTGACAGCGGTGCACACTCATACTGCCTGACACGCCCAACCGTCCGCAGCGAACTACACTATATGTATTCATTCATCCATATACCAACACTTCATATCAATTGCACTTCATAAATGAAGCCATAGCAGTAACAGCGTCGATGTGGCTGTGAGTACA